CCGTGTGTGTGTGTGTGTGTGTGTGTGTGTGTGTGTGTGTGTGTGTGTGTCTGCCTCTCCACCACCTTGCCTGATGACCAAGTGAAGCACAGCCCCCGACCAGACTCCTTTTCTCTGTTCCCTCCTTCAGGTGCACGTGAACCCTAAGTACATTGTTTTGGAGTCTGACTTCACCAACAATGTGGTGAGATGCAACATCCACTATACAGGTCGCTATGTTTCTACGACAAACTGCAAAATTGTCCAGTAAGTGCTTCCCCACCCCCGCCCTGCCCCAGCCCCTTTCATACCTGGGGAGCAGGCTGGCCACACAAAACACATAAGATACCTGCACTTTGAGTCACCTTGATGGCCAAACACAGCTGCAATTGGGCCCAGCCTATAGGCTGAACAGAAGGAGCCTGTCCATGCCAGCCCCAAGCTGAGTGCCGTGGTGGGGCTCCGGCTGCAGGGTTGAACTGCGGTACGGCTCTCTGAGATTTCTCAAGTGGGAACCAGCAGGAGGCAGCTGTGTTGGGTGGACATGCACAGGCTCTAATCCCACTTCGGTGACTTCCTGGCTCTGTGACGTTGAACAGTTCACCTCACCTCTCTGAGCTACTTTTTCAACTAGGATATAAAATAGGCATTTTTTTTTATCTCCCACATGGGCTTCTAAGGAATATTTAAAGGCCTTATGTCTGTGTGTTTGAGAACCTTTCACAGTAGCACTTAATGAATGGTAACTGTGATCATTAGTGTCCTTATCAAGTAGATCGAATTAAACAGTCCCAGATTAGAAGTGATTCTGGTTGGAATGAACCATCATCAATCTCTGGGCCCCACCATCAAGTCGATAAGCTCTGGCTTCCCTGCTCCCCTGGGCCTGTGGCCCTTCCCTCTGAGCCCTTCACATAAATGCTTGGAGAGGTTCCGGTCTTGTTAGAGTGTCTCTGTGACACTAACCTCGGCCAGGTGCTGGCCCAGTGCACTGGAAGCTGAAAGGAGCCTTCCCACCTGTGGGTTTCAATCTTGTTTCTGAAGAGGAAAAAAGGCTTAAAAAAAGTGTACTGAGGTAAAAAGAAAGTATTTCTCTGCCTAGAAAATGATCTGGGCCCAGCCGGCATGGCTCAGTAGTTGAGCATCAACCTAGGAACCAGGAGGTCAGGGTTCAATTCCCGTCAGGGCACATGCCCAGGTTGTGGGCTTGATCCCTTTATGGAGGGCGTGCAGGAAGCAGCTGATCAATGATGTTTCTCTCTCATCAATGCTTCTATCTCTCTATCCCTCTTCCTTCCCCTCTCTCTCTAAAAAAGTCAATAAAAACATATTTTTAAAGGAAGGAAGGAGAAAGAGAGAAAGAACAAAAGAAGAAGAAAGGAAGGAAGGACAATCTGGGATGCCATGGCCGGTGTGCTAAATGGTTAGAGCACCGGCAGAACACTGTCCGTGCACCATAGAGTCTTGGGTTCCCAGTCAAGAGCACATACCTGGGTTGTGTACCTGGGTTGCAGTTTCATTCCTGACCCTCTCTCAGGGCCCCGCAGGAGGCAACCAATTGATGTGTCTCACATCAATGTTTCTCTCTCTCTCCCTCCCTCCCTTTCTCCTTCCCACTCTTTCTGAAAAGCAATAGAAAAAATATCCCCTGGTGAGGCTTAACAAGAAAGAAAGAAAAGAAAGAAAAGAAAGAAAGAGGAAGGAAGGAAGGAAGGAAGGAAGGAAGGAAAGAAGGAAACTATCTGGGGCCAGGGCATGGGGAAGGGGGGTGCTGAGACCTTGTCCTGGGTGGGAGTCCATGAAAGTCTTCTTGGACCTGGGCTGAGGGGCCCCTCTCCCCAAGCCCAGATTACTGAGGGGAACAAAGCCTGTGCCTGCCCTCCCACATGGGATCTGGGCTGTGGAGGGAAGCCTTTGGCAGGGGAGGCAGTGGGGGCTTTGCCGACAGTGGAGTGAGAGGCCCTACCCAGAAACCTGCCTCTCTTTCTCTCCTTAGATCCTGATCTCCAAGAAGGTGGACAAACTGCCAACCTCCCCGCTTCCCAAAGCAGGTCCTGCTTACCAGGCAGCCTCCCACCAGGACACACCTGGTCCAAGGGGTGCAACCCCATCCACCACAGGCAGGGGCAGCTGAACACAGGGGCATCCCTCTCTACCGGCCTCAGGGAGTGAACCTGGACCGAAACCACAGGGATACCGGGTGCCAGGCCCAATTTCATACTTAAGTTTTCACTACAATATTATTTTGTTGGTTGTTGGCTTTTATTTTTTATATTTTGACCATACCACAGAGCAAGATTGCCCAAACTTGGGCTGAATAAAACAAGGTTTTTCTACTCTGTGGCTCTGCATGTGCCTGCCGCTGGGCTGGCCAAAGAGAGCTAGGGTGGGCTCAGGGGACAACATGGGACTTGCTCTTTCTCCTAGCAGAATTCAGAAAGAGCAGCCACTACCCATCAGGACTACAGCTTGATCAAGAGGGCATCAAGCCCACTGTGGAATCTTTGAGAGGTTCACCCCAAGGCCAAGTCCTCTGTGTAGGAAGAAGATCCCCCTGGGGGTGGGGTCTCTGCTCAGTCTCCCACTCCTTCCCCAACCGCCCCCTGCCTCATTCTACCAGCCACTTATTCACATGCTGAGCACCTACCGAAAGCTGGGGCTAGGCTTAGGCTAAGCACACACTGTAGAACCAGACACAGTTCCTGCTGTTAGAGTTCACAGGAATGGAGTCGAGAGCACGCCACACCTACTGAGACAACTCCTGGGGGGAAGGCGGAGTCTTCACATGGGAGGTGGTCTCCCCAGGAAGGGAAGGGACAGGGGTATACTGGGCAGAGGCCGATGGAGGCAGGAGGCAGAGGTGCAGGGAAGCTCTTGGCTGCTGCAGCCCTTCCTCTCCAGCCTTGTCTGTGGTCTTCCTCAGGTCCTGGGCACTGGGTCATGGTGTGCCTCTCCTCTTCCTTCCCCTCCCACCAGCCCTCAGGATGCCTCTGCACCCACCTGCCCGCCGCCAGCTCCCTATCTCCCCAGGGGAGGAACTAGTAAAAAAAAGGCCAGAGACATCCAAGAAGCAGGGCTTGATTCCAGGGCCCTCCTCCTGCTCACTGGCTCTGTGACTCTGGGCAAGTCATGCTGCTCCTGGGGCCTTGGTTTCCTCAGCATCAAGTGGGAGCGCTCCTGCCAGGCTCACACGCTGAGCCACAGGACAGCACTGGGTGAGCTGCAGAGGCTCCAGATCAATGTGGACCACCACCTGTTTGCATTCAGTGCCCCCAAAGGAGAAAGTAACCCACCTTTTTTTCTCTCATGCAATTCATAACTCAGGGTTCCTGGCAGCAACTAGGTCTTCCAATGGGGTGGGGAGGGAGGGCTTCTTGCAGCCATGCTGTGCCTCCAGAAGAGTCTTGGCCCCAGCCCCCTAGGTCCTCGGACCATTCCTATCCCAGGCAGCAGGATGGAGTGGAGCATGGCCACAACCCCTTCCACCTTCCACCTTCCCTCACAAGGTTTGCTAGGATCAGCTCTTCCCTGGCACAGGGGCGCTTCACCCTGCCACTCTCCATCCAGGGCTGGACCAAGAGGCCTGAAGAGAGTAGGCAAAAGCCTGTCATCTAAGGGTCATCGTCCTGCTGCACCCCTCACCCACGTATGCCTCAGAGATGCTATCTTGATTCCAGCCCCACCCCTCTCCTTTCTAGGTACCCCCAAGAGGGAGCAAGGGAGGACTCAGGCAAGGTTAAAAGTCCCTTATTCCCAGGTCACAAAGGAAGCCCAGAATGGGAGCCTGTTTGAGGCCACAGGTCTCAGCCAATGCTCCAGGGAGGCTCCTGGGGACACACAGTGCTCCTGGGGGAAGGGTAGCCTGCCTGGTCTGGACAGGCTAGAGGGCTGGCGGAGGAGTAGGAGGGGAGGGGGAGTAGGGCCAGCTTCCCTGGCTGAACCAAGAAAGGGTTATTTCTTGAAAGTGGATTTCTAAGAAAATTTGCTGGTTGGTGGGGGCCTTGGCACCAACCAGGGTCCCTCTTGGTCCCTGGCAGTGCCTGTGTGCTCACTTGAGCTTGGCACTCAGCACCACACAGGGCTTTCCAGGAAAATGAGGATGGCATGGTGGGCAGGTCATCTCCACTCCTGACCCAGAACCTCCTCCCTCTGCATCCTGATGTGTGAGAATCCACCTGGGCTGCACAGGGCCTCTCAGTCACCTGCCTTAAGCCCCTCCTCAGCTTGCTCAGCCCTGGAGCTGAGAGGCCACCACCTCTCAGACACTGCTGTGAGAACACCGGGAGGGGGAATGGACCTCCCTTCAGCCTATCTCTGGTCAGGGCCACAGATTTATTAAGTTCTAATACTTGGAGTGAGGGTTGGCGAAGGACACAGAGGGGTTATGCAAGAGACGGGGGACCTGGCTGTGGTCCTAACTCTGTCTTTAGTCGGGCCTCAGTCTCCCCATCTGTGTCCTGAGAGGCTTGGTTCCTTACGCTCCAGTGCTGCTCTATCAGAGAAGGTGGGAAACGGGAGGGGGGGGAGAGGTAATAGGCAAACCCAGCCTGTGTGAGGGCAGGAGAGGTAGACTGCTGGACTCAGAGCAGGAGAGCCAGCGGAGAGACTGCAGCCTGGGAGGGCCTGGGGCGTCACTGCAGACAGAGGCCTAAAGTGGGGCATTAGATGCCAAACCAGACTGGACCTAGCAGGGGAAGGAGTGGCTGAGTGGGCAGGGGCAGGGCCTCTGATGAAAGCCAGTTTAGGAGACAGCTGGGACCCAGATCCCATTGCTGTCCTGCTCGAGATGATCTTCTCCCTCTCCCCCAGCCCCAGATGCTCATAGCTGCCCGCCACCCAGGGCAGCAGCATCCTCAGCGTAGAGCCCTCCCCGTTGCCCTCACTCCACAAAAATCCCACCTTGTTTGAAAAGCCACTTAGGCCTATGTCAGGGAAGCATCTCAGAACCACAGCGTGAATGGCAGAGCTGGCCTGACATTCTTCCTGGCTTTTAGGTGAGGAGCTTCTTAATGCATCGGCATGACTTTTAAGAGAGCATGTTAATACATTGCTTGGCCAGGGATGGGAGGTTGTGAGGATATTTGCAGATTTCATGAAAACAAAGTTTGACTCTCGATGGGAAGCCCAGGGCCCACCTACCCCTGCCCCATGTGCTGGAAGTCTCTGAGTCTCTCGGCCCAATCCCATGGCATCCACAATAGCATACAGGCCATGCCTCATGCCTATGATGCCCAACCCCCAGCTAAGGGAGGGTCCTGCTTGCCCTGCTGATTCCAGACTGACTGAGGTAACAATGCCTGCCTCTCTAACTTGGGATGAGGGGCTACTTCCCAGATCCCTCCAGGCATCTCTCCCCCTTTGTGGTCAAGACCAGAGACCAAGGTGCCCTTGGCTATCCACTCATAGCCTCTGAGGCCAGCTGGTCATGCACAGGAGTGGGCTCCTCACTATGGCTGCCTCTGGGCACACACCACAGCCACAGCATATGTTGGAAATCTTCGTGCAGCTCTCTACAAACCCCCTGGCATCCCCCAGATTGAATCATGCAGGAGGAGCCCATGGGCAGACCTGGCCAGGGTGCATGAGAGGTGCTGCCCCAACCAGGAGCCTCACTGAAGCCTGTGTGGATACCGCTGTAGAGAACAGCCAGAACCTGGGACTCAAAGTTACGTATGACACATGCTACCTGGAATTTGCAGAACTTCCTGAAAATGAGAAGGTATTGAAAAAGCTTTAATGCTGAAACACAAAACATGGAAAGCAGGGGAAGCAGTTGTGGATTTTGGCACTCATATGCTCTGACTATAGGAAATCATTTCTTCTTTTTTCCCCTTTAATTTTTCAAAATTAAATGCAATCTGCTTTGAGCCCCTGGCTACCAAGTGGGAAATTCAATGTGCTGAGTCGTTTTACTCTCATCCTAGAGGCCTTAAAAGGCCCAGAACACCAGAGAGGAGCCCTGTGGCCTTCAGTCCCCTCTATCTCACATAGGCTTGTTGACTGAACCTCCGAGGGGAGGCATCTCCAATTCCCGCATAGCTTGGGCACAGGACACCAGTCAGTCTTATCACCCCTCAAGGTTCACCATGACCTCAGGGCGCTGCCAGGCGAGGACACTGTCCTTGCTATGGAGCAAAGCCTCAGCCCCATCACCCAGCTCTCCCAACCTCTTTCCTCTGCCTGCTTCTACCATATCCTCCTTAGCTCCTCACTCTGCCTCTTTCTCTTTGGGGAAAACTTCCATCACCCCATAGTGTGCCTCAATTCACAGAAGCTCCTTTAGACCTGACCTTTGGGTGGGGAAACACAAGCACCTCTTAGGGGAAATGGGGGGAAGACCCAGTAATGATGATGATGGCAGCTAACTTCTTCAATGTGCCAGGCTCTGTCCTAAATGCTCTACAAAAGTTCGCCCATTTAATCCTCATAATGAACCTGTGAAAGATACACTGTTGTTATTACCATTTTGCAGATGGAGAAGCAGAGGCACTGAGAGGTCATGTGATTTCCTTTCTTAAAGGCAGTCTGGAAACAGACAGAAAGCCATATGCTTGTGCTTTGAAGTGTAGCCAAAGCGTTTTTTCAAACCTTTATCTCTTTTTTTTCACAGCTCTCTGGAAACAGCAGCTCAAACACAGGCTGCAGGAGGAAAAGCAGAATTCCTCCAAGAAGAAGTATGATTCATACTTAGATTGTTCTTTATGGGCAGAGGAAGGGAGGAGCAAATTAAAATTGACCAGGAATCTAGTCAATAAAATAAAAATACAGCCCTGGCCAGGGTTGGAGCATCATCCCATACACCAAAAGGTTGGGGGCTCCATTCTGATCAGGGCACATACTTGGGTTGCAGATTCAAGCCCTGGTCAGGGCATGTGTGGGAGGAGACTGATTGATGTTTCTCTCTCCCATCAATGTTTCTTATCTATCTATCTATCTATCTCTTCCTTTCTCTCTCCCTCTTCCTCCCTCTCTAAAATCAATAAACATATCTTCAGTTGTGAGAATTTAAAAAATGAGATGAGAAAGGAAATATTAACACAGCCATGCAGATAACTTTTGAAATTCTAGAAAATAATATATACAACTCCAATGCAAAAAGATGAAACTAAACCACCAACTCACACCATACACAAAAATAAACTCAAAGTGGATAAAGGACTTAAACATAAGATGGAAAACCATAAAAATATTAGAGGAATCCACAGGCAGCAAAATCGCAAACATATGCCGAAGGAATTTCTTCACTAATACTGCTCCTAGGGCAATGGAAACTAAAGAGAAAATAAACAAATGGGACTACATCAAAATAAAAAGCTTCTGCACAGCAAAAGAAATCA